GGGGATTGAAAACTGAACTTAGATTCACGGAACACCTGAGTTCAAATCTTGCCCCTGCTATCCACTTCCTCTGTGATCCTGTGCCAGTTACAACCTCTCAGTAGTCCTAGCAATTCTCCAAGGCTGTATAGAACTTGCAGAGCAGGGACCCATCTGAAGTGGCAGAAAGAGCAGAGTAGGGAGCTCTCTACACTGAAGAAATCATAGGTCTTGGGGGGGAAATAAGGGAAGATTATTAGACTTGGAACTTAGAAGTCTTGGGATCTAGTGCCAGCTCTGTGCTAAGCACCTCTGGCCATATCACTTCCCCTCTGTTAGACTCAGCTTCCTCATTTGTGAAGTTCCGTCCCACTCTAAAATTCTATGGATCTACCAGAAGGCAGACCCAGATACCATTAGGAGATCTGATAAGGACAATATCTCTGAACTACTGAGATCTTCTCTCCTGTCATTTATTCATGAGTCATTAGCCTGAAGAGGGGTACTAGACAGAGCTTAGAGGAGGGCCCAGGGCTCTTGGCATTAGAAATACAACATGAATTCCACTAATGCCATCTTGATCATTTCATTTGAGTAGGGTTGGGTGGAAAGGGGAGTAGTCAGAAAAGGAGCCCATTGCGGAAGACTGGAAGATAGCCTCAGGCAAGTTGTGAAATCTCAGAAGTTTGTCTTTTAAGTGCTCTCATCTTCTCCTTTCTGTGTCCCTTTCTCCTACTCCCCTCTAGGGAAACTAAGCTCCTACTTGTCCTCTTTCTGCTTTTTCCCATCAAAGCCTGCTGTTAAGAAAGAAATCTGGAAAACCCACTCAAACTCATGCACTGCTCTCAATTTGTCACTGTTCACAATCCTTTGATAGCTACCTATTGCTTACCAAATAAAGCCCAAAGAGCTTACTCTGGTATTTCTGCCTCCAACCTACTTTTTCAGCTTCATTTCACATATTCACTCTATCCTACGAACTGGACTATCCCCAAACTTGTCTTGCCATTTTTTTTGCACACAGCAGGGCTTAATAACTGTTGAATTAATAAATCCACAATGAGGTATAAATGATCCGATGAAGCTTAATAAGGGAACCCCTTGAGGTAATTTCATTTTGACCTTCAATTAGTGGCATTTCCCAAATTTTTGAGCCAATGGCAGTAAATGTCTTGAGGAGGCCAGAGAGCCATCTACCCAGAAAAATCATACCAGCTGGTCCCAGGCCCTAGCTAACTGGCAGACCCAAGTCTTCGAGGAATATGAGATACCGTAGTAGGACCCCTCTTGAATCACAGCCAAAAAGCCATCAAAAGTTTTCTAGTGTGGCCTTGCTGGCTATGAGGCCAAGAGGCAGTCACTTAACTCTGAGTCTCAGTTTCTTCATTTATAAGATGGGGGTAATATGCCCATCTATCTTTTAGGATGTTATGTGAGGTTAAAATGAGATTGTGTGTGTGTGTGCATACACACATATATACATACATATGAGAATATATTACACATGAGCTTTGCAGACTTTAAAGCTCTAGGTAAATGTCAGTTATTATTTTTATCATTATTTTGGACTTCATTGTGGAAAGAGCATGGTGATATAGTATCATTCAGCTTGGATGCTGGTGGTGGGCTGGGCATAGAAAGAAGGGCCACTTCCTTAAGGGTGAGGGAAGCATCTTTTCTGGTTTAAAAGACTTTTAGAACTGACTACTTCAACAGAGACAGGAGGAAGGAGGAAAATAAAGCTCTTCTGATCACCCCCTTCCCAGCTGTCTCAGGTCACCACCCTTGAGAAACAACAGAGCTCACAAAACAGAAGAAATGGTCTCTTTGAGCTCATGAAGCCACAGTCTCTCTTCCTCCACAGCAGAAAGAATTATTCGTTCCAAGGGGATTCTTGGAAAACACTCCCCCCCCCCCCCCGTTAATTCCCAATCTGTAACACTGCTCAGGCTCCCAGCCTCATCCCCTTCACAGTGGGTGGTGTAAATGATATCCAAATCACTTTATACTTACCGAGCTGAGGTGAGCTTAGGTCACTAACCAACTTTAAGCAAAGATACTATACTAGACTGTCCGAAAGCTCTAAGGAAAGAGTTCCTTCAGGAAAGCTAGGAGGCAGCCCCAAGAACTACTTTGAGGCAGGGAATAGTCCATGCAGTGGGTGGGTTGGAAAAGGTCCCAGTCTGTTAGCACCTTTGTTAGAACTGGTTAGAAATTTAATGAAATGTAAAGTGTGACCTTAAGTGGGGTACCTGACTACAACAGGCCTCCATGAATCCTACATAGAGTCAGAAACAGCCCTAGAACACAGATTTCAGTATATTTTATGTTTACAAAGGAGAGGCAGTGTGGTAAGGGGCAGAATACTGGAATTATGATAAAGAAGAACTGACTCAAACTAACTGGGTGATCCTGGACAATTCACTTAACTTCTGGGAATCTCAGTCAGCTCTTTTTAAAACCATAAATTATAGATGAGTTATTTGCGTTCTTCCAGGATGGAGGGAATTCCCACATCATCGTAATCATAGATTCTCAATTTATTGTTATTTGTATGAAAGAGGAAGAGAGAATAGAGGGCAGGTTGGGGTGGGGTGAAGGAAGGATATGAAAGTCTAAAGGGGCCCCTACATTTAGTTCTAGAGCTGTATTTAGCTGTACTAAGTTCTCTCCTTACAAAGGGCTCCCTAGTCAGAAGCCTTTAGCTTAGATACAGATGAGAGTTCTTGGAGGAATGGAGGGCACTGGTAACCTCCCAACCTAGCTCACAGTCTGTCTTCCCAGGCATGGAGGACAATCATTATTGCTACAAATAAGCATAGGTCTTTGTGAGTCATTAGCATCAAAGGGGAAAGAATGAAGTAGGGGGATAGGAAGTGGCTCACCCAAGCTGAAGCATGATTCACTCTCTAGCTCAAAGGTAGCCACCTCTGGGGGAGGGAAGGCATGAAAACCAGAAGCAGCTTCTCCTCTACAGAAGTCTGGGGATTTCCAGTCGTATACCAGGGCCAACTATCTGTAATGCAGCACAGGGCTCTTGGAGTAAACACATGGGGCTTCCATTTCCAGGTTTCCAGGCTAGGGAATATGAGTCGTGAAAAGGGGTCAAATGGAAGAAAAAAGGGGAGCTCAGTGACAGGCCTGGTATGGCCTGGGTAGTATGGAGTACTAGAAAGAGCATTGTTTGCAATCTGAAGATGTGGGTTCACGTTTCAGCTCTACCATTAGTCACTTAAAATGAGCTGTTGGATGAGATGACCGAAGGTCCCTTTCAACTCTACATCCCGTGGTAAAGGTGGTTGATCAAGAGAGCCCCTGATCAGTTTGATAGATAGCCCAATCGAACTGATGAAATTACAGGGCGAGGATCTGTATCAGAAGAGCACCCCCTATAGTTGTGGACATGTACTCTAGCCCCTCACCGAGAAGACACAGGGCCTTCCTCTGGGTAGTCTCAGGGACTGCAGCTGTCTCTAAGATGAGAGGGGACAGTCTTTTGCCTGAAGAGCCAACTCTTCTTCAGGGTGTTTAGTGGTGAGCCAAGATGCCAACTGGGCCTGTGGGGAGGCACTCTCTTTTTGGATTTCCAGACTAAAATGCAACATGTTGGAGAAAGCAGAAAATATTAATTGCTGCAGAAAATGCAAACAATTTCTGTTTACCCTGGCAGGACCAAGAAAGAGGCTCTGGCTGCCTTCTTTTGCTTTGTTTTCTGAGCTTAGGTCAGAGACTAGTGATCTTGAGAATGAATATTTCTAGCCTTGAGAGTTACCTTGCAGATAATCCTGAGATAGAGTTTCCAAGTTCTAGAGTTCCCAAATCAAGAGTTCCTGAGTTTCATGGATTTTCTCAGTGCATGCAATTTGAAGAGGATAGTACTAAAATTGGAAGACTAAAGCCACATTACATTGGCTAAGAGATCTGGACATCATCAAGCCTAAATAATATTGCTAGGAGTTGCTTGGATTGTGGTAGAATGTAAATGGGGGGGTATTTATTAAGTGGCCTCAAAACGCCTTTACCTTCAGAGAGGTAGGACACTATATGAGTGCTGTATTTGTATCTATATTTGGGTTCTGGTGACACGTTTTATGCATTTTTATTAAAATTATCAAAATGCATTTTATGCATTTTTTTTGTGGTGGAGGGAATAAAGGTAGTCTCATACCCATACTGGACATAGGGTACCTGTGAGGAAATGGAGACTATTACCCACATGTGGGGACACTTAAGACATAAGCCATACCTAAGCTTTATTCAGGAGATCTACCCCAGAGTTGGGGTAGAAAACCGAAGAGCAATAATGACCCCTTTGGGGTCAGCCCCCAGGATGAAATCTGGTCCCTATGAATCCAGAGTCTTTGAAGAGAGGCCAGGGGCACGGGGTACACTATGATTCCTATGGTAGCATTAGCAGTGACTCAGCACCAGGCCATAGCTATGTGAAGATTGGGTGGTTGGTAGGGCAGCATTTGTGAAGTTTGTGGCTAAACTATATTCTTCTCTCTAGTCACTATAGGCAGACTGACATAGGGACTGTGGGGGATAATCTGGGAGTCAGGAAAATCTAGGTTAAAGCCTTTCTTCTGACATATACTAGATAATAGGCTATAGGCAAATCACTTAATTTCTCAGTGCCTTAGGAAGTGTTCTAAGTTATAGACGAGTTGCATTAAGTTTCAACATTGGCAGTTCCCAATGTTGATGAAATCACAGGTCCAACCTCACTACCCCCAACCCCCCAAACTCTCTTCACTAATTTTGCCTACTTTCACCCAGGAAGAAATGGGTTTTCTACGTCCTTGGGGAAAGGGAGGACACTGTGTGAGGGGGAGTGACTATTCTTCAGTTAGGACCTGGATTTGGAAAACCTATCCAGGAAGCAAAAACTCAGTTCTTACCATATTGTTCTGAGGCCAGGACAAAAGCAAACAACAGTTGTTCCCTAAATTAATCCCTCCAAGCTATGTTTTTCCACTCCCCTCCATATTCCGCCCCCCCCCGCCCCCAACCTCCAAACTCTGTTCCCACCTGTGAGCGATGCTGTCTGTACAAACTGAGCAGGACAGCAAGGAAGAGGAGTTTCTTTCTACAGTTGGTAGCCTCGGCATTTTTAATGATTTATAAAAAGGGATGATGCTAATTTCTACCTAAGTGTCCTGGAATAGTCAGGAAACACTGTACCACAGGGCATAGTAGGGCTAATTAACTCCTTTGTGCTGGTTGGGAGTGCTGGAAGTGAGCTAGGGTGAGGCATTCACCTGTCCACTGCCAGCAATGGACACTTCACAGGAGTGGGAGGGCGACTGGGGTGGGGCTGGGGGACTAAAACCATGCCTCCAAAGAGTGCGATGATACTGAATAAGGAGTGAGTTCACAGAGAGAGCCCTGTTTGTGGAAACAAGAGGGCTAGGAATGGGAGCCCTGAGAAGGCAACATGGAGTTGGGGGCTGTGATAAATGAAGACCAGCACCAGGTTCTGAGCCTGTTCCCATTTGAACATTCTAAAGCATCCCCTACGCCTAAAATATTACCTCTCTCAAACTCTGGTTTCCTTAAGCAGAATCAATCTCTCTCTCTCTCTCTCTCTCTCTCTCTCTCTCTCTCTCTCTCTCTCACACACACACACACACACACACACACACACACACACACACACACACACACACACCCCACTAACCAATTGGTTCATTTTCAACTCAATCATGGCCCAAATATTTTATAAGCATCCTTCACCTTTTAGATCCCACCCTCCAACTCTGCCCCTTCCCCCACCCTCTCCCCATAATCTTTATTTGGGAAACCTCTCAGAAATTTTTCCAGGTCACAAGATACTACCTCCTCAAGCCCTACTGGGTCCAATTCTCACATGGGTTCAATGGGTTGTTAGAGAGGTGGTTATGAGAAGGGAGAAGGGGGCCAGCACCAGGAAACACTGTCACAAGCCCAGTGGCCATGGTGCCAGATGCTTTCACAGTAGACGATTTGGGAGGGAAGATGCTGCTTGTGTGGTCTCCCCTGGACATACAGCAAATGAGCAAAAAACAAAGATGGGAAGGGGTAAGGGCAGGTGGAGAAGATTTCTCAGGTTTCTATCTCTGGGAATTTTTGTGTTGGCTTGTGAGGGGAGGAGACAAGAAAGGCAGGTTGCCCTTAGTTCAAAAATAAAAGAGGGCGGAGGGGAAAAACGGGGGAAACTCCACGGAGCACTTGAGGATTAAGTCCTTCAAAAGTCCAAGTTTAGTGGGGATCCAGCACCAGAGTGCCCCAGAAAACACCAAGAAAGCAGCTTCGGGGCTACAGGGAAGGGGGCAGCAGGTAGGGCCTCTGCCTCCACCTCCCGTGCACGCATGGCAAGTGAGCCACGGCCACGTTCCTTCTAGTCCTTCCGCTCCTTGGGCCCCGTGGGAGGTATTGGTTGCAAGCAAGCACCTGAATATTGCCTAATGGAACAAGCCAACTGCTAACTTCACCCAGACCAAAGGGCAGTGGTGGGTGTGGGAGGAAAGGGCCCGAGAAGAGGCGGGTGTGGGAGGCCCAAGATGGTCAGTGGATTGGGGTGCTGTAATCAGTCTCAGGAATTCTGCTGTTCTCTTCTGAGTTAGGGAGTTATTCACATATGTGGCCCCCACCCCCATCCCCATGTAGCTGTGTTCCCCTTCACCTCTAACATACATACACACACACACACACACACACACACACACACACTATTCTGGTGAGGATGGTGATGGTGTGTGGGTGCAGATGTGTGTGTGTGTGTGTGTGTGTGTGTGTGTGTGTGTGTGTGTGTGTGTGTATGTACTGATACAGTGAGCATAGAAGGGAGAAGCTGTGTGTGATAAGGAAGAGCAGCTGCTCCCACTTGGTTTTTGTTCACGGGTTGATCAAGAAAGCCCCAGGGCCACTGTCCATGCACGGGTCCACTCCTCAGTCTGTCTTGACATGGCCGTTAGCCAGAGCCAGTGAGGCAGTAGGTCCGCTAGGCTCAGCATGCTGTTCAAAGCGAAGACGGAGGGTGTTGCGGATGATAAACTGCTCCATGATGAGGGCGCCACAGAACCAGGGCACAGCATACTCCAGGGTGATGAGACCCATGAAGTCAAAGTCAAATTGGGAGTAGTCCCAGGGGCAGGCATTAAACTGGCGAAGGATATAGCCCGTGGTGAACTCCCATAGGTATGTCCAGAGGGTGTAGATGAGGCAACGGACCAGGATGTGGCAACGGCCCCGCAGGCGCAGGTACATCTTCTCCACAATGAGTATTGAGGTGCCGTAGATGAAGAGGGCCCAGACACTGGTGACACCCGGAAATTTCCAATTAAAGTTCACCACAAACTCCCAGGCGGCCGTGAACATCACCTCACAGAAGTAGCCATGGATGGCATAGAGGTACCAGCGAGACAGTGCCGTCAGGGGCTCCGCAGAGGCCATGGTGCCTCCTCACAGTCCCCAGCCCAAATGCTAAGAGTACAACAAAGGAGACAAATCAGGGTGGCAGAAACAGCAGTCACAGGAGTTCAATGTATGGGTCAATCAGCCCTCCCTTCCCATTACGCAGCCAGCTCTCAAGTCACTGCCTTACTCTCCAACATGGGTGTGATCTGAGCTCTTTGTTTCTCCTTCTGCTCCCAATGGCTACCTCAGAGTCACAGAATCATAGAATTTTAGAGCTGGGATGGACCTTAGAGATTATATAGTCTAATCCCCTTAATTTTATTTTAACTTTAAAGAATCCTTGATTTATTTTTAAAATTGATATAGTTTGTTTTTACATTGCCTACATTTCCAAATATAGCCCTCTTCCATCCCAGAAAACCCTTCCTTATAATAACAAATAACAAAGAAAGGGAGAAAAAGAAGTTTGGTAAAACTAAACAGCATATCAACTTCATCTGAGAAGATCTGCAGTGTTCCAAATCTATAGCCCCTCACCTCTGCAAAGAAGGGAGGGGAGTACATTTTGTTTTCTTTTCTTCAGGCCAAATTTGATAATTAAAATTACACAGCCCAATCCACTTATTTTAAAAATGAAGAAACTGAAACTCAGAGTTAAATGGACTTACCCAAAGTCACACAGCTGATTAATGGCAGAGCCAGTAGAACCCAGGTCCCCAGATCTTTTGACTCCCAATCCAGAGCTTTTTCCACTGAGCTATGATGCTTGTCTCAGGAACTGTCTGGTGCCATTTTGGGGGGAATATTTTATCACTCATTAGCAAGGGCAGATATGGATGATATATATGAAAGTGCTTTGAAAACTGTAAAGTGCTATTATAAATGTAAGGAATGAGTATTATGGATGGACAGGAAGAGAAGAAATCAAAGTTGCCTGGCTTGATGCTGTAGGGATTCATAGAGATGATAGACAAGGGAATCTGCATGGATCTTCCCCTCATAGTAGGTCTTCAGGTGAAGGCTGGATGACTAACTTGTTAGGGTTATGGTCTAGGGTATTTCCATGCAGGTAGGGGTTACAAATGGATGGTTTCTAAGGTTTCTTCCAATTCCAAGATGCCTCTATTGCGTAGATGCAGAGGTTCCCAAACTTTGTTGGTTCATGGTGTCCTTAGCATCAAACTGTTTTCGAAAGAAATCCCTTACTAGTTTCATTTATTAAATAGCTGGGTTGAAAATTTTAAAGTACCTTAGAGTGCCCTTGTGAGTTTGCTACTGCGCTGTGACATGCTAGGGCACATGGTGTGGGAACCACGGATGTAATGGAAAGAACAATGAATTGGAAGGCTCTGGATTCTAATCCAACTCTGGTCCCTACTAGCTGTATAATGAGGAGCAAGTGACTTTCCTCCTCTGGATCTCAGTTTCCTCATTTGTAAAATGAGGACAATGTCCTAAGATCAGAGGTTCTTAACTTGGAGGCTGTGAACCAGAACAGTTTAGATAGATAGATAGACAGACAGACAAACAGATAGGTAATTGTATTTTAGTATAATTGTTTTCCTTTGTAATCCTATATAGTTTATTTTAGGCATCTTAAACCATTATTACAAGAAGAGGGCCATCAACTTTACTAGACTGCCGAAGAAGTCTGATGACACACAAAAATGTTAAGAATCCCTGGCCTAGATGATCGCTAAGATTCTTTTCCAACTCTAATGTTGTTATTCTGTGGCGGTTTTTTTTAAAAAGGGGAAACTCCTCAAAGTTCATTCTGTTTCTTATAAACTCTGTAACACACTGCTTAGGGGAAGCTTAAAGCTACTAGCAAATTTTCATTTTCTATGTTCCTCTTTTAGTTGCTACTAAAGGAGGAACACAGAAAATGAAAATAAGGCAGCTAGGTGGTGCAGTGGATAGAGTGTTGGAGTAAGGAAAACCTGAGTTCCAATCCAGCCTCAGACACTTACTAGCTATGTGACCCTGGGTGTATCACTTAACCTTTGTCTACCTTCATTTCCTCAAACATAAAATAGGGATGATAATAGCACCTACCTCCCAGAAATGTTTTAAGGATCAAATGATATAATATTTTTAAAGCACTTAGTAGAGTGTTTAGCACACAGTAGGCATTTAATAAAGGCTTGTTCTCTTCCTCCCTTTCTTCCTTCTTTTAATAAGCCACGAACAAGTGCACTCACCCATCAACAGATTACATTGCATGCTACTGAACCTCTGTGTTCCCTCACTCTTCGTGTCCTTTGGTCAACTGGGTCACCTGGGGTCATCATGACTCCTTCAACCATTTCTGAAACAATTTCTGATTTCTGAATGCTTTACAATCAACTCTTCCTTTACATTTGTCTTCCACAGCCCAGTCACATAGGTGTTAGGTACCCAGTTTCGAGACAGCCTGAGCTTAAATTGGTTGAAAGCTTATTGGACATACCAGGTATGAAAATTAAGAGGTCAAAAGTAAGAGGACATCCTTTTGCTTCCCTCACTCACCCGTAATGACCTTCCTACTGTACTTTGGTTAGCTTTTGTTTTTTATCATATATGGTTTTTATACATGGCAGCTATGATATAGTAGATAAAGGGTTGATCATAGCTCCAGGAAGACCTGGGTTCAAGTCCTGCTTCTGACACTATTCTCTTTTGATATACTTTTGACACAGTGACTCAGTTCCCTTTGGCTGGTCTCTAAAAGGTGGCACAGTGGATAGAGAGCCAGGCCTGGAGTCAGGAAGACCTAAGTGCAAATCCAGCCCCAGACACTTACTAGCTGTATGACCCTGGGCAAATCACCTAACTTGCTTCAGTTTCCTCATCTGTAAAATGAGCTGGAGGAAGAAATGGCAAATCATTCCAGTATCTTCACCAAGAAAATCCCAAATGGGGCCACGACGAGTTGGACGCAACTGAAACAAATGAACCACAAAGTCTTTGAAACTATACATTGCAGATGAGTTGCTAACCTCCAACAGTAGAGGAAGTTTCTATGATGGGAATTCCCAATACTGATGAAATCACAGGTCCAGACCAAAAAAAAAAAAATGATGTCATCTCTATAACTATAGTTGTGCCCCCATCCTATCCATCTTCTAGTTCAAGCCCCATTAACACCCTGAAAATCTTCCTGTTTCTGCCCATAATGACTTCTGCCACCTCTGAGCAAAACTCAATCAAACACATAGTTAATAAATACCTAATATGTGCAGAATTCAGTGATGAGCCCTGAGAAGATACTCTAATACTTGGAATACGTCATCAATACTGGGGAGCTCCCAGTGTGAGAACTGTCTCTACTAATACAGATCACAGATTGACAGTCCATCTATAACTTAGCAGATAAATTTCAGAGAGCTGCCTGAGGCACAGAGTAGTTATATAACTGGCCTAGGGTCAAAAAGCTAGTAGGGTCAGAGGCTGAATTATAACCAGGTTTTTTCTGATTCTAAGCTCAGCTCTTTATTAATTTATAATGTAAAAAAAAAGATAACATTTGTAATTTGTTCTGATTAGGGGTAACCAGATATATTTATCTAAAACAGTCTAGCATGACATGGCAGACAGAGATCTGGCCTCAGAATCAGGAACACCTATGTTCTAGTCCTTACTCTGATATACACTTGCTGTGTGACTCTAGGCCATGGGCTGGCAAACTATGGCCAAGGACCAAATCCAGCTCTTCACCTGTTTTTGTATACCAGAGAGTTAAGAATAATTTTCTTCCTTCCTTTCTTTCTTTTTCTTTCTTCTTTTTTATATTTTTAAATATGATAAAACTTTATTTAAAAATGAAAAAGCCATTCTCAGTTCTCTGGCCTTATAAAAAAAGAGGTGGTAGCCAGATCTGACCCCTTCTGTCTGTAGTATGCTAACCCCTTCTGTTGTACAGTTGTGTCTAACTCTTCATGATCCCATTTGGGGTTTTCTTGGCAAGATACTGGAGTGGTTTGCCATTTCTTTCTCCAGCTCATTTTACAGATGAGGAAGCTGAGTGAAATAGTGTTAAGTGACTTGCCCAGGGTCACATATCTAATAAGTGTCTGAGATCACATTTGAACTCAGGAAGACGAAGTCTTCCTTACTTCAAGCCTGGTATTCTATCCATTGTTGCTCAGCCCCTACTCTAGGAAAATTATTTATTAGTATTCCAAGCAACTCTCTAAGGCTTTATAAGCTGAAGAGCAGCTATAGGTCTATTCTGATAGTTTCCTATTGGGAATTCCCTGCACCATCTACTGCATGAGGCCTTTTCTGGTTCTAACCAATGCCCTTCCCAACACACTGTAGCTGTTTTGTATGTGCCTCAGATATACCTCTTTATATGTTGTCTCCTCGCTAGAATGTAAGTTCCCTGAGGGCAGGAATTGTTTTACTTTTGTCTTTGTATCTTGGGTCAGGCTTGAGTACCTGACACATAGCAGGAGCTTAATGTTTGTTGATCCATACAATCAAAATCACTGGTCTGGTTGAAAAAGAAAAACAAAATAAACAAAACAATCCAAAAATAATGATGATGATACCACCTTATAGATGTAGAAGATGTAGAAGAAGGTGTCACTAGGCCTATTCTCGTAAAATGTTAGAGATAGAGTAAAAAAAGAAAAGAAAAACCTTAGAGATCAAGACCTCAAACCTCTCAATTATAAATGGTAAAAAGAGCCAGGAGTAGATCTCAGATGTCTTAAGTGATTCCGAGTTATTCTCCTAACAAGTTGGCACAGTGATTAAGGCACTAGATCTGGAGTTAGGAAGGCCTGAGTTCAAATCCAGCCTCAGACACTTCCTAGTGGTATAACCCTGGGCAAGTCACTTAACCTGTCTGCCTCAGTTTCTTCATCTGTAAAATGGGCATAAGAATAACATATAAAACTCAGGTCTGACCATGTTACACACACACACACACACACACACACACACACACACACACACACAGAGAGTCCATAAACTCCACTGGCTGCCTATCAACTCTAGGAGCAAATATAAAATCCTGCTTGGCATTCAAAGCCCTTCACAACTTGTCCTTCCATACCCCCTACTCCCAACATCCCTGATCT